CCCCCTGACCCTACTCTGGATTTCTCACTCCCTCAGCAAAATTCTGAAAAGAACTGATGCCTATTTTGTGGCATTTACCTTTTTACTGTTACATATTTCTTTGTTTGTCCCTGCCTAGATCTTTGAGGACATTATTTAGGTCTCCTTCCTTTTTCCATCCCTCCACAAAGTAAGTGTCTTATTTTTACCTTTTCTAGATTAGTTCCTTTAGTGTTGAAGGATACCAGAATATGTCACCCCCAAATATCCCTTTTTGACATGAAAATTATTTTGAGCTGAAGGCAATTAGGAAGCAGCAAACCCAAAAAAACTCCCCCTTTTCTGCCTGAAGGCAGGAAATAGTCTCCTCTTTCTGGAGACTGACTCTTACTGGCCCAGAGATGCACCGGGGAACCTGCAAGTACACCTTCCTCCACTAGGTCCTCTGGTTTATTTACCTTCCCACGGCTGCCGCCCTTGGAACCCTAAACCTGCTTTCCTTGTCCTGTTAATTCTCTATTAATTTATTGTTCCTGGTGGAAGGTGCTGTAAAAGCTGTAGTTGTAAATAGATGCTTTGAGCTGTTTTTCGTTGAGATTTTTTCCAGGTGATGTGCACCGCACGCGTGAATGAACTGGTTTTTTTCTCCTCTTGTTATCTGTCTTGCTGTGAGAGTCCCAGCTGAAAACACAGGATGGGTAAAGTGTGGTCTCCCCTACGGCATCCTGTATTTGAGACAGCAGGATGTCAGCAATGGCTAAATATTTTAAAAGTTTTGGTTCTTAGAAAAGTACTAGGATAACCAAAGAAATCCGTATCTTCAAGAATCCTATTGAAATAGGATTTTTGTTTTGTTTTTTTGTTTGTTTTTAACGTGTATATACTGCAGTTTTATTTCAATTGCACAAAGTTCACGTGTAGGAAATTTAAGTGAAACAGTACAGTAAAAATAGCAGAGAACCAAAAACTCTAAAAAAGAAGTACATCTAAAGCATGAGAACTCAACATTCATTAGTGTTTCACCTTCAGTTTTACTGACACTTGATGCTTGCAAATTTTGAAACAAACTTTGAGATCATAATGACTATTCTGAAGAGATTTCAGCACCAGCACTAAGATTTGTACATTCAGTTGGTTTGCAACTGACTTGTTAGCCATTTACATAGTGTACAGCACAGATTTGTCACAGGTCAGATCACCTTCCTGTAATTAGAAAGGATCCCCTAAACTGCACTCAGCTTAAGACATCCAATGTACAAGGGCACGGAAACCATCACAATAATGTGGCTCCAATGAAACAGGATTTTACTGGCTAATTTTTTTTTTTTTTTTTTTTTGCGGTACGCAGGCCTCTCACTGTTGTGGCCTCTCCCGTTGCGGAGCACAGGCTCCAGACGCGCAGGCTCAGCAGCCATGGCTCACGGGCCCAGCTGCTCGGCGGCATGTGGGATCTTCCCGGACCGGGGCACGAACCCGTGTCCCCTGGATCGGCAGGCGGACTCTCAACCACTGTGCCACCAGGGAAGCCCTTTACTGGCTAATTTTAAACTTAATTTGCCCATTCAGCAAAGGTTTACCAAGCTTGTACTACACACCAGGCCCTGCTCCGGAACTGGAGATCAGGCTTTGCACAAAACAGACAAAATCCCTGCCTCATGGAGTTTTATGTTCTAGGTGATGGGCGGAGAAGGGACACAGGAATAAAGTGTGGGGAACATCCTGCTGGGATTCCTTCTGTGAAGAAAACTAGAGTGGGGCGGGAAGGGTGCTGGCCAGGACCTAGAGCACCTGCGGGCCAGCTGTGTGGAGGAGCTTTGCGGCAGAGCCAGGCCCCAGCCACGCCCCGGATAAGGGGCGAGCCCTGCAGACTTGAGGAGGGTGGGGGGAGGTGGAGTAGAGGCTAGATGGGCATTTGGGGCTTTTAGGCCACTGTAGGAAGTTGGGCTTTTACCCCGGAGAAAACGGGAAAGCGCAGGGAGTTCTGAGTGGAGGGGACAGTGATCTGACACGGTTCAGGAAAGGGCCCTGGGGGGCGGGAGGGGAGACGGGACAGGGGAGCCGCCATCGGATGCTGGCTACACGGGAGAAATACCCTGTGGAAGACACACAGTGAAGTCAGAGGCCTGAGTGCCAGAAGGTCGCTGCCCTGAGCAGAGACGGGAAGGCTGCCCAGAGCAGGTTTCCAGGGGGAACGCGGAATTCTGTTTTCACTGAGTTCACTTTGGGTTGCCATTTAGAGACAGAGAATTTCTCTGAAACCTGCAAAGAGCAAACGGGATCGCTGCGTATCTTCCCGTGCAACGCCGGGCTTGGCTTGCGATGGCCTGGACACCCCTGTTGGGGCAGACGTCTCCATGGATTTTTGTCTGGTGGGTCAGATACCCCCAAGGTTACAGTTTAGGGTCCCGGGGTATCTGTAACCCCAAAACTTATCCTTACATTTCTTCGTCAAACTGTCCACATACACCTAGCTTATCAAATGCCTTTTGGACTGGTTCTAACACCACACTGGTTCCCTTATCAATTAATGAGTTAAATAAAATCTTCAACACACGCTCATTTACTTTGCCTGAGAATCACAACCTGGCCAGTTTAAGGGAGGTGTTGGGCCGGCAGTTAGAAATGGACCTGAAGTTCCAAGGGCAGGGCAGGGCTGAGTTCCAAAGGGGAGTGTTGTCGGCCTACAGGCAGGATTTACAGCCGTGAGATGGGATGACAGCCCTGTGCTGTGTGACTTATCTAATATTCACGGTCGCCCACAAGAGCAAACCTTTTGATGACTAATGTTCATCCCCATTTTGCAGCTGAGGACACAGAATGGAGCAGGCGAAGAGCACAGAACTGGGATCTGGACCCAGACAAGCCGGCGTGCGGCTGAGCACCAGCGGTTCCCAGTCTGGGGCATCTCTGACCGTCACGTGCACCCACTGGGGGAAGGCAAGGACGTGGCTGAGGTCCCCACGATGCAGAGGGCAGCCCCCATAGCAAGGGTCCCCCTGGCCCCGAATATCGGCAGGGCAGGGGCGAGAAAGCCTCAGACTTGGGGGGTCTCCTCTTCCAGGCCCCCCACTCGACGTGCCCCCTCTCAAGCCTGCAATCCTTCACTTGCTTATAACCATTCATTCAAGGCCTGTCCTTCCCCTACATCGTAACCTCCGTGTTTCATTCATGCTAAATTCTCAGTCTAACGGACGCAAATAATAAATGCTCGTTAAACGGCTGCTCACATCGACTGCATGATTTCTGATAGATCTGCGCTCACTTTGAAAAATCCCAAGACTGTGACAGAGAAGCAGATGAGAAAGTGTGACATTAACATTCTGCGATTTACACTGCATAGGAAAAGCATCACCGCGTTTAGCTTAGGAAACTGGAGAAGCAAAAAACCCGAGGCCCGTGTCTCAACAGCCCTGACGGAGGTGAATTTTTCATTGTCCTTGAAGCTAATCAAGCCTGCGGAAACAGCATCACCAAATGGACTACACGAGATTTTCAATTAACTCAAACAGATGGCTTAAATTTTCCAGGTGACTTTCCATATTAATTCAGAGAGTTTGCTGGACCAGGCCCCAGGAGGCTTGGCACAGATGGAGCTGGAAGAAAACAATGAAATACCTGGGTCTTCGGCAGAGAAGACAAAGCAGTAATTGCAACGCTTCTTCCATCCCAGCAAGAATATCATCAGCTCCCCTAGGAGGGGCCAGTGCACACTAAGGACCCACCCCCCTAGGAGGGGCCAGTGCACACTAAGGACCCCTCCCCTAGGAGGGGCCAGCTGCATGAGGAGGAAGGCCGCTCCAGGGCAGGAAGCGAGAGGTAGTGGGCAGCCTTGGGCTTGGTCTGTCCACCTGAGGACCTCACAGCATTTTACACATCACTGGAGACAGAAGAGCTGAAAGAACCTCGGCGGAATCCTGCAGAGTCCCCAGGCAGATGGGTCCTGCCAAGGACAGCGGTGGAAGCCACCACAGGAGGAGTCCACGCCATCACGGACCAGTGGATCCAAGTGCCCGTGTGCCTCGCCCTGCGCTGGGCCTGTGGAGGAGTAAGAGTGGCTGAGGCCACAGCTCCTGCCCTTCCAGAAGCTGCCAGAAGCTACTAATAATGGAGAGTTCCGTAACTGAATAGTGAAGACTCAGGCTGGAGTCACGGCAACATGTGGGCTGGATACTTGCTGACCCTCAGAATGGATCGTTCTCCACTTAACTGGGCCCACGTGTAGCCTTGCAGATCTGTAAACGGGTGGGTCCTGGTGCCATTCCCTTCTCCTTCTGAGTCTCCCGTCAATACTCTCAACAGAGTGAGGTCTAAGGCTGATATAAGTGGACTCTGGAAGTATAGCCAGTCCCCAGACTGCTTGAACTTTGGGACAGAATGAAATTGATGTTCAGACCCCTTCACAAAGATAGGTTTTACTCAGTTCTTTTGATTAGGAAATAAAATCCACCTACAGCCCTTAATAACAGGACAGTTGCCTTTGTCAACATGTTCCACCAACTACACGGTTGTTATACCAACTGGGAGATTTGGTTTATTGGAACAGGATTCACCACTCAGTTCCTGGAGCTGGCAAAAGACAGTAACGCCCTAAAATAATGCTCTGAAAATGGGGCGCCATTCACAAGAGGTCCAATTACATGGGTTTTCTTGGAAAGACTGCATCTGTCCATCCGAGGGATGCCCTCCAAAGTCTGCCACGTGCCAGGCCATGTGCTCCCTCTGCACGTGGGTGGTTGACCAGTCCTACCTGCCCCCCACCGCCCCCGAAGCCCAGCCTCCAGGGCGGAGAATCTGGGCCTGACCTGGGCCTGACATAAGCCAAGAAATAGTAGCGTTGGTTTGACTGGTGTTCCCTTCCCAGAAAAACCAAATCATAAAGCAGTAAGGAAAACTTCAGAAAACGTACCTTTTTCTTGGATGTTTAGATTAGCAGGAAAATAAATCTGAGCCTAAAGAGACCATGTAAATGGACACTGGTTTCATTATTATCGTCTTAACATAATTGAGGAAAGGGTGCAAACCTCATCCGTGGATCGTCAGGCGGCATCATCTCCAGGTCGTGCGTGGGTCCATTTAAGCCAATGACGTGCAGGGAGATACTGGGGTTTTCACATCCAGCCTGGGAAGTAAAAGGGGACAGAGATGTGAGTAAGCCGCCTCCCGCCTGGACTGGCCTGGGCACTAAGTCTGCCAGGAGATTCACAAGAGGCTCAGTGTGGGGAGGACGGTCCTTTAAGAGGAAGCTGCTCATCCCTGCTCCCACCCCCTGGACGAGCACTGGCCTGGCAGGGCAGGAAAGACAAGGCTGCTGGGTCTGACGGCCCAGGCGCCTCTGCCCCCACAGTCGGAGATGCTGGGGTGAGGGAGGGACTCAGGCCCACACAGGGCAGGCATCAGATGGGTCACCAGCTCATGCCTCCGATTTGGAAGTGGGCGTCTGAATTCTGTTGGCCAGAATATGCTGATTTTCTATTAAAACGTGAAACCCCAAATCCTGAGCCATCTGGGCTTTATAATTGCAATTTCAGAGCACCTGTCCCAGAGTTCACTGTAAAATCAGGGGGCCTATACCTTTCTGGATTTCAGGTCATTACATCACTCCTGGATTGGGGGGGGCTCTCATAAAAGGATTCACCAGGGAAACCATTCCATTTCTAGGTGATCTCTGGCTTCCAGCCTCCTGAACCGTGAGAAATAAATGTCTGTTGTTTAAGCCACACAGTCTGTGGTGCTTGTTACGAAGCCTGAGCTGACTGATACACCTGGTGTTTCCTTTCTCTGGCTTGGGACTCTGGGGACATCACTGGCCTCACTTGGACATTGTTGCCTCTCTTGCTGCAAACTGTAGGCTGGCACGTCCCGTATTTCTGGTATACACGGCACATGGCATCAGCTCCCAGAGCCCTCTGATGGCTTGGAAGCCGAGGCCCAGGGCTCACTGGCAGAGGCTGGAGGGGTCCTTCCAAAGCAGCCCCAGGTGGACGTGAGGACCCTGTCACCAGGTGGGTGCAGGCAGAGCTGCGTCCACTCTCTTGGGCACCAGCCTCTCTCCAACTGAGTGGGCGGTAGAGGTTTCGGCATCAGGCCCTCCCTTCACGCCAGGACGCTGTGATTTGCTAACAAAGCGGGCTTTGGCTATCCGTCCCCTGCCCCACTCCTGCAGCCTCGCTGTTCTGCTGGCTTTTTGTGGGAAGCAATTAGAAACAGTATGGGTCAGAACATGACCAAGGACAGAACAGCCCAGGCCCAGGGGACCAGGCGCAGACAGGGGTCCTTCTGACCTCCCAGAATTTAAAAAAGGAACTAGAGGACAGGGTGCCCCCGAGTGGGCAGTGTGAGTTTTTGTCACCACGGACTCACAAGGGAGGTAATGTATTTTGGTTGCAATGAAGCTTAGACAAATGATTAACGGTAGTTGCATTATTTAAAAGAAAGTAAACCTGCCGACAAATTCAACTGAGCAAAAATGGGAATTTAATGCAATGTAATGGGAAATAATTAATCTTGCCACATGTGATTATCACAGCTCCACGCTGGGAGTCGGCTGGGCGGGAGAGCTGATGAATAAGCAGAGCTGTCCTGCTGCTGCTTCCCGCCTACCTTGGGGTAGTGGTAGGACTTCACGGTCGGGTAGGCGGAGCCGGTGTAGGTGGGCAGCTCCATGACCGGCACCCGGGAGTCGTTGATGGTGGCGTAGGCAAGCCGCGTACCATCTGGAGACCACCAGTGGGCGATGTGGGTCTTCAAGATCTCCTCTAAGGGAAACAAACAAAGCAGAGGACTGTGGATGGCATGGATGGAGTATCGGCCAGCGCTGCCCGGGCACCACGGGAGCTGGACAGAAAATCACGTGCCCCCTTGGGGTCATTTACAGCCTCTGAGGAGGCTTTCCTGTGCCCGGGATACATCTTCATCTCAGAGGTGCCTGGTCTGACCACCAAACCCTAGCACAGCAAAGCCAATCAATCAAACCCAATCAATCAAGGCCCAACCGAACAGAGGCTACTGTCTAAAAACCATTTTGGGGGCACAAGTTCGAGTACGATGAACCCGGCAAGTCCTTTCTGATTGACTTATTATTGTTCTGTTGTGGGTTATTATTTTAAGATGATCAGAAAAACAGAATTAGAGGAGATACATTCACTCTGAAGCAGGGCACACCCAGGCAGAAGCAAGTGAGGGAGTAAACTGTGTTGCAGGTTGAATCCCAGAGAATCGACTTGCAGATGCCGAGGGGTCGTGCCGGCACACGGACCCCCTCACGCACAGCCGTGCGGGGGGGGGAAGGCGTTCAAAGGCCAGCAGGCCCCTCACTCCGAAGCATGGAGGTGGTTTCACTCCACGTGGCAGAAGCACAGAGCGGCCTTCTCTTCTACGGCACCGAAGGGGAGACAGCAGCCCTCCCAGGCTTCCACCAGGCGCACCCGTCACTCCTGCCTGCCCCAAAGAGCCTCGGCTAATTAGAGTTTTGACTAGGGGTGAGTGCTGTGGGATCTGTTATCTATTCTGGAAAGAACAATTCTACTGTGTCTTTTGAACAAGCCAAGAGAAGACACTTCCCAGGTACAGCTCATCAGAGTGCTAGGGTCAGAGGAGCATCTCGGTGCAAAACAGCTCTAATGTTCGCGGATTCCTCCTTGTACGTGCTATGTATTTTTATAAACCAAACCCCCCTAGGTTTGTTTTTAAAATAAAGATCGGTACAGCTCTATAATCACATACTGTGAGTCCCATTCAACGGTCGTTATTAGGTGTAGACCATAAACTGGCTCTGTGAGCCTGTGAGGACAGAAAGGTAACTGAGGCGCCTGAGAAAACAGAGTGCATCAACCACACAGGGAATGATGTGAATTGGAGCAGAGCCAAGGGGTGATGGTCACTGGAGGGAAGGGTCACAGAGATGAGAGAAGCAAGGCAGCAAGGCCAGGAGCTGGGCCAGCCTGATGGCCTGGCCAGGGGGGCACAGGGATCTGTCGGCAGCAGGACAGAGACGGCCGGGGGGCAGGGCCGCATCAGTCAGGGCCCTGCTGCAGTGGCTACAAAAGCATTCCACAGCCAAGTTCAGGAATGAAAGTGGGGCACTGCAACTCCTTCTCCCAGGAGACCAGCCAACCAGGCAGTCTGTCCCTCCATCACTGGCTCCACTGGCCTGGTTTCTTAGCGGGACAAGCCCCCATGTTGCGTGGGACCCGCAGCAACAATGCTAGGAGTCAGTCCCTTCAGAAAGTGCTGGCCTCCCCCTAAATAAGTCTCCCTGGCCCTCCGCGGGCTTTCCTCCAGGCCTGCCGGCAGCCTGCAGGGACCCTGATCCAGTGTGACCCGGGGCCAGCACCAGACAGTAGAGTCTCATCCATCACGAAGCCCCTGGCATATCTGACTTCCCATCACCCAGACGCATCCCAGGCCGGCAGCACAGCTGATCAGTGAAGGATGGTGAAGGGGCCCCAAGTCCTGGGTTCTGCCCCTGTCTTGCCATCGACCGCGGAGGCCCCGAACAACCCCAGCTGTCAAACAAGGGGCACAGCTGCTGCCTCTAACATGTCCTCCCTGACAGCGTTTTGTGACCTTGCGGCATCTGAGAAACGACTCAGAAGCTTCTGCAGAGTCAATAAAAACCCAAAGGCCTGCTGGGGGCGGGGGGGTTAGGAAGTCAGCCAACTCTCCATTGCTTGTAATTTTCCAGTGTCTTTGGCGGCCAGCAAAGTGACTTTCAGGTGCGGGTGTGGAAAGCAGTGATTCAGAAATGACTTTATCCAGCACCACCTGACTTCTCTGGCCGGTGAGTGTGGGACAGTGAACAACAGACTCCAGCAGATGGTCTGCTGGAACAAACAGGCACCATTGGCCATGCAACTTCTGGGGCATTCTGCTCAGTGGCGTCTGTGCTGCAGGGACATCAGGGCACGAGGGGAATCACTGGGAGTGAGCGGGACACAAGGGTCAGAGGGCCAAGGAGGTGGCGTCCGCCTGAAACCAGCTGCGCGAGCCTGGCCACGGCTCTCACGGCGCATTCATTCACGGCCAGAACATCCCCACAGAAAAGCGGTGGGTGCGACAAAGGCTTCTAGAAGAGGCAGCACCGCACAAGAGCAAGCAGACAACACAGTCCCTGCTGACACACCTCTTCTGAGGCTTCCCTTTGACCCCGAGCGACCTCCTGAAATGGGAGGAACAGCAAATCAGCAGCCTGGGGGGGTCCTGCCACCTTCATCCCCAGACGGGCCCAGGGGTGCAGGAGGGCACTGCTAGCTCCTCATCCACCTGTCATGGGCCCACCTCATTTCTAGAACTTGCCCTCAGACCAAAAGGAAACGCTCCTGCTTTGGTCTGGTCAGTGCAGGGCAGGGGGTCACACAGGCAGGGGTGAGAGAGACAAAATCAGGGGAGAAGGGAGGCCTGATGCTGGGCTGACAAGTACTATTTCTGTCCCTTCTGTCAGCAGATGCCAGAGTATTTCCATTGAGCTCAATGCACTGCTCAGAGAACACAGATGCAGAAAAGGACCACAGGCTTCAGACAATAAATGTGCTGGTCAGAAGGGAATCTGGAAACCACACAGTTCAGGGATGACAAATATCTGGTGTGTGTGTTGGCAATGTTCCTTTCAATTCCATCCCACAGCAAGATGATCACAAATAAAAAAGAAATTCCTCCATGCCAAAGGCCGGGCCATACACAATGGGTGGCTTCCGTTTATTTTCCCCAAATGCCCTGTAACACATTGTTCCTTGGCGTTTCTATTTTCCTGTGAGTTAGCTGCTCATTAAAGAGATAAAGTAAGGATAGGAAACTCTGGGGAAAAGGACCAGGCAAATGAAATCGTGACACTTTTGTGTTAACTGAGAACGTCCCTATTCTCCACATGTTCTCTTCAAGCTTCTAGCTTCATGAGGCAGTTGGCTTAAATGCCATGAATCAAATGTAGTTTATGGATAGAGTTTTGCAGGGAAAAAAAACCTATTTCATCAACTAAATTAACTGCATGAACGCTTGGCTTGGAACAACAGGAGAAACTTGCCTTTCTGAGCAAGTACAAATAGCTCGTGAGAACAGGAGGATACAGCTTTCCTTCCACCTTCCCTGTCCCGTCCAGGGACCTTCTCAGAATCAAGTAAGAAAGATACATTTGGGGACATTCACTTGAAGAGGCAGAAATTTTTATCCATGCAGCTTAAGCTCACGGCAGGATCTGGACCCCTTTCCCTCATTTCTTGGCATCATGTCTCAAAGAAGCCAAGTCCACTACGTGAATTGTCATTCACGCCACACACGTTAAGGGCATATCCATATCCGGAAGGACAAAATCCCCTTCGGGTTCAAGGTGATGAAGGCCAGTCCAGCCAAGAGGAGGAATTCTCAAGTCTTCCAGATGCAGAATAAGAGGGGGCCCTCAAGGTCGGTCCACCACAGTTGCCCGTAATCACTTAGGGGGGTTCTCAGGGAAACGCGGGAACGGTGGGTGCTTTCTGTTACAGACGCTCGGGCCCACTCCAGGCAGCGCCGTCAGTATATACTGGGGTGGGGGAAGGGCACAAGCCCCTTTTAAGCAAAAGCTCTGCGGGTGACTTTCGTGTACTTGCCGGTTAATATGTCACATCTGATCAAACAGGCACTGCATTCTGGAAATGCATGCCTATGGTCTGCTGACAGAAAAATGTCACCTGCCATTTCAGTAAACAAAGGATGCTGCTGCCTTAAAGCCACCAGCCACTGCAGCCCACGGTGCGCCCTGAGGGGAATTCAGGATGGAGAAAAACAGGATACGGGCCCTAGATCGTGATGATGCATATCTAGGAATAATTTCAGTGAGACCAGACTCCTGCATCTTCCCATACATAGAAAAGCCCTACAATCATGAACTTGAGATGTCTGGTTTTTGTGATTAGCAGTACTTTTTTGATATTTGATCACATGATTTTTTTCAGCAAAAACTCCTGTAATATCCCGGTTCCTCCCTTTCCTCTTTGGAACAGTCCCTCAGAGCTATCTGAGAGGCTCTCTCCCAGGCTATAGTCCTCAGTAAGGCCCCTGATTAAGACACAACTTGCATCTTTTAGGTTGTGTGTTTTTTTCAGTTGAAGGTCTTATTAGCATATAGGAAACAGGCTTCCAAATTATTTGGGGGGGAGTATATATACCTACTTGAACAGAAGAAGAGTAGGTTCTGCTTAAAAGTTCGTTGTAGGTTGAACTGTGTCCCCCTCTGGTGCCCATCCATGTGACCTTATTTGGAAATGGGGTATCCTAATCTCTGGTACCCATCCATGTGACCTTATTTGGAAATGGGATCACTGCAGATGTAATTAAGATGTACATTAAGATGAGGTCGTATTGGAGGCGGGCAGGGGCCCCTAATCCAATATGACTGGTGACCTCATGAGGAAAAGTAAAGAGACACAGAGACAGACAGGGGACAATGCCAGGTGACGGCAAAGGCGGAGAGTGGGGTGATGGGTCTAAAAGCCACGGAACAGCAAGCGTGCCACCACAAGATGCTGGAAGCGACACCCTGATTTCAGACTTTCAGCTTCTAGAATTGGAACACATCTCTGCCGTTTAAAGCCATCCAGTTTGTGGTCTTTTGTTATGGTAACCCCAGGAGTCCGCACAAGGTCATGACTGTATTGGCTGCCATAGAACCAGCTCCTTGCTGGGAGAACGCTGGTAGGAGAGAGTCAGCTGAATTCTGCCCTGAAACTGAGCAGGGTGAATTTCTAAGCCAGACCTGACAAGGATGGGGGGTGCCCACTGGCCT